TTAGATGCTCTGACAGGCTTTTATTGTTGACACCTTAAGCTGCTCCTTGTTTGTGGTTCTCTCTTGTTGTGTTTAGTGCATTAAATAAAAGAAATCAACAGCTGTTTTTGGTCTTATGTTAGTTTTATTTTTGTAGAAATGATTTCAGTCCACACAGAGCACACAGGAAGCAGACCCTACTTATATAGTTTCCTGACACATCTTTATTATCCTGTTGCCAGGCAGAAATCCAGTCACCCTACACAGATCAAACACAGGATATATGTGGTAGATATGATAACGAAGTCTTATCTATTCAGAGAAAGGAAACCGGACGCTGTCTTAGTTTGGGAGGCATGCCTGCACCGAGGGTTAAGCATAGATACGCCACTGGAGAAAGAAAGTCTTAGTATAACAAATAATGTTTTTCACTCTGACTTCAGTAAGTGAGAAGCTGCTGCGTTGGATCATGATTAGATGAATAATAATAATAATGTATACTTTATTGATCCCCGTGGGGAAATTCCTCTCTGCATTGAACCCATTCACTCAGTGAAGCAGCCATTAGGCAGCAGTGAAGCAGTGTGTAGGGATGGTGCCTTGCTCAGGGGAATCGAACCCTGACCTTCTGATCACGGGGCCAACACTTTACCTACTGAGCTATCTGTCTTTGTGCCTTGAGGATCTCTCGGGTTGTTTTCTTTGGTCATCTTCCGTCTGCACGCTGAGCTGCTGTCTGATCAGTTTTGCAGAGCGCCCTGTACACGTCACACTTCATCCTGATGCTTCTGTCTGACATCATCAGTTAACACTTGTGAGCTGGTTTCAGCTGACACACATGCTCGTCCTTATTTCAGTGTCTCGATGAAGTTAAGACCTGGATGGCCTCAAATTTTCTTAATTTTAACGAGGAAAAAACTGAAGTGATCATCTTTGGATCAAGCTGCTGTCCTAGTACCCAGATCTGCACACTTTAGCACCTTGTGCCAGAAATCTGGGGGTTATCCCTGATAATAAGTTTACCTTTGAGTAACAGATTAACTCTGTACAGCGGTCCTTTTTAAATTGAGGCTCGTATCCAAGGTGAGATCATTCTTATCTTTTAAAAAACTAAAACGGGCAGTTCACGCTTTTATCTCATCTCAACTGGACCACTGTAATCCTTCATATGTAGCTGTTAGCCAGTGTTGTCTAGCACGTCCAGCTGGTCCAGAACGCTGCAGCTCGCCTCCTGACACGAAGAGACGCAAACATGTTTCCCCGGTGGATGCTCGCCTCACTGGCTCCCAGTCCGCTTTAGGATTAAACACAACATTTTATTGATGAATATAAAGCGCTGAACGGTCAGGCTCCAGAGTGTCTGTCTGACTGACTGCAGCCTTATTTGCCCCCTAGAGCTCTTAGATCAAGTGATCTCTTGCTCCTCGCCACGCCTGAGTCCAGGCTGGTTCACAGAGGGGACCGGGCGTTTGCGGACTAAGTAGACATGAACTAATAGTTGGAGCACTCGCAGTCTGCTTGAATTCCAGTTTGCTGCTGGAGGCTATTTTTAAATGTTTTCCTTTTTTCCACATTTCTGTTTTGCAAATTCAGGAGGATGAAATTGTCTCACCAAAAATACATTTCCAAAACATTTTGTTTTACCTTCACAGGACGTGGTGACCCTTGACCCCAGCAAATCAGCTGACTTAGTGCTGTTTCATTTCACCACCGAGGTGCAGCACATCGTCTCTGAGCTTCAGGTAAGGGCAACAGAAATGTTATTTCTCTTTGTAGTTTCTGAAGCCTGAACGAAGCCTCGAACAGCACAAATGGATTTACAAATATTAAGACTGAGACCTGCTGTCCAAATCTTTGCCTTCTTCTTTGTTGTGTATCAGATAAAATACATATATGGTGCATTTTCCAAAGGGCTGTAAATAGTACAGTATAGTATTTACAATAGTCTTTATATTGCACTTTTCCACTTCATGCAGCAGGCCTCATTCACACATACACGTTTTTCTCTCCATAACTGCTTTTTATCCAACATTCACACTCTCATCAGTGACTTGCAGAGCAGGGTTCGGTGTCTCGTCCACAGATACAGACTCGAGCAGCCAGGGGTCAAACCACCAACCTTAGAATTAGTAGATGCTCTAACTCGTGAGCTGCAGCCTCCCAGTTTCCGTTCATTTACTTTGTCTCTTAATAATGTTGGGCTTTAAGTCTAATTTTAGTCCCTCTTTCAGAGCCGTTGCCTGAGCTCCTATCAGAGGATGCTGAGATAGTTTGACTCCTATCAAACTGAAGAGGGGCCCAGTTTTTGGAGGATTGCTAAACAGTGATTGTGTCACAGTGAGCTCTGGTAGTGCTCTTTCTGTGGGGCGATCGTGGCTCAAGAGTTGGGAGTTTGCCTTTGCCTTGGTTCGAGCCCCAGCTTGGACAGTCTCGGCCGTTGTGTCCTTGGGCAAGACGACGTTGCCTCCTGGTGGTGGTCAGAGGGCCCGGTGGCGCCAGTGTCCGGCAGCCTCGCCTCTATCAGTGCGCCCCAGGGTGGCTGTGGCTACAATGTAGCTGCCATCACCAGTGTGTGAGTGTGTGTGTGAATGATGGATGACTGGATGTGTAAAGCGCTATACACATTTACCATTTCTGTCCCTGCTCACACAAAGGAACAGATACTAGTCCTGTTTCTGGTTCGATCCCCATCTAGAGCTCTGTTTGGCTCTTGTCATGTAGCAGCTCGTCTCCTCTCATGTCTTCCTCTTGAGGCGCAGCAAACCTGTGTGAATGTGACATCCTGGAGGAGCTGGACTACCTGTAACCTTTTGACAAGGACACTATGGCTGTGTCCCAATTCAGGGTCTGCAGCCTTAACGGTCCACAAGGGCCGCGTACTTAAAGACCA